CTTCCCAGCTCACAGGATATGAGTCTGGGAAATTAGAAAACGGGGAAGGGAATGCTAATGGCAAACATCCTCACATTGGGAAACTGCAGCCGCCTAAGAATGAGACGGGAAACCAGCAAAACGCAGACCCAGGGACCAGAGAAGGACCAGCAGCCTGGACAGCTAGTCAAGGGCAAGGGCGATAAGGGGCTCCCTGGGCTGAGGCTATGATGGGGAGAGTTGGCATGTGTCTCACAAGAAGCTGGGGAGAGTTGGCACGTGTCTCACAAGAAGCCGGGGAGAATGCACGGGCTCTGTTGATAAAGGCAGGAAATCTGCAGCACACTCTAGAAAACAATTACAGTCATCCTCGAGAATCCTGGAAGTCTGGTGTTCCCTGGGAGGTTCTGAATAACCCAGGTGTTATTGTGAAAGAAAAATCAATGGGCTAGAAAACTAACAAACAGCACCACTGAACAGAATTCTAATTTCTGAAATGAAAAAGCCCTGTGGCTTTGCTCTGTGCACGGATGAGCCCACTCTGTGTGCTAATGGCCTCAAACCAGGTCAGCCTTTAGATGGAGTACTTCACAACAGGAAGAGTCACCAGGGATCCTGGCCATCAATGTGGCGGGCCATGCCAGCTGGTTTGCACGTGTCATTTAATAACCTTATGAGGTAGGGACTCACAAAACCTTCCTTTTTGTTGTTGTTGTTTTTTAGACGAGAACATGAAGCCCAGAGAGGCCGAATAACTTGTTTAGGGGTCACGCAGTAGAGTCCTGGCTGACTCCAGAGTCCTCCCTCTTCCCCACTCAGTGACGTTACCTCTGTAATTACAAACCATATCCTGAGCCCCAGGCCATGTCTCCCGAGCACATGGTATCACTTACGAGGGAGCAGGAAAGACATGAGAATAAAGCTGAGCCCACCAAACCCCCAGCACAGAGCCAATATCCCACTGAAGCTGGCCCTGGAGCTCAGACTGGCTCTGGCCAGGGCATTTAAGGCCAATGTCAGGACTGAGATTATAAATGAAGATTAAAAATGTGTACCAGTGGGCTGGGTGCAGTGGTTCATGCCTGTGATCCCAGCACTTTGGGAGAGACTCAGATGAGCAGATCACTTGAGGTCAGGAGTTTGAGACCAGCCTGGCCAACGTGGTTAAAGCTCATGCCTACTGGAAAAAAAAAAAAAATCCAAAAATATTAGGCAGGTGTAGTGGTTTCACTGAGGTGATTTCCTTAGTTTTTCTAAGCACCTGTAGCTCCAGCTACTTGGGAGGCTGAGGCAGGAGAATTGAACTCAGGAGGCAGAGGTTGCAGTGAGCTGAGACTGCGCCACTGTACTCCAGCCTGGGCCACAGAACAACTCTCTGTCTCAAAAAAACAAAAACAAACAAACAAACAAACAAAAAAACCCACAAGCAATGTGTGCCAGCTCATGCTGTCTGGGAGACCAAGAAAATCCCCTTAGAGTTGAATCGGATGGGGGGTTTCCAGCCAGCTCACGGTGTGGCAGGCGGTCTAGGAGGCTTCGGATTCAGATGGCCCTGCATTGATATCCTGCCTCTGCCCTTACACTGTGACCTGAGAGATGCTCCTTAAACCCTCGGTTTCCTCATCAGTAAACTGAGATACGGATAGTGCTGCTTCATAGGACTTGTTGTGGAGTTCAAATTAGAAAGTGAATGCAACAAGCAAAATGCCGACACTAGAAGGCTCTCCGTATTCTTGGTTCCTTTCCTCTGCCTCCAAGTGGAACCCAGAGAAAGTGGCCTACCTGTCATTTAGGCACTGAGTCTCCTAAAAGGCCATCACAGCCAAACCGGTGTTCTAGAAGGGGATATGCTAAAGAGGCAGAAAACGTAGCTGTTGTCAGTCAGTCCCTGGGGAAAGTAACCCCAGTTGCACTGACTGAAAAAGCTTCGCAGGGCTGTGTCATGGGGCTGGTGGAAAGACCATCTCCCCACAACAGTCCCGCATCTTCTGTGGGTTTCTCTCCTCGGTAGACAAGAAAATAAAGCTCCGGTTGTGCCACAAAGCCAACTCCTGGAAGCCTGGGAAAGTAGCCAGGCAGTGAGAAAGGCCCTTGACCCCCAAGTTCAGCCGCTTCCCTAGGACAATCCTGCAGCGCCTCCCGCTCCCCTCTAGGGGGCTGCTTCCCCCCACCACACCCCATCCCCCAACGCTACCCTATCCTACCCCCCCCCACCATGACCACCGCCCTCTTAGAGTGGACTCTGCCATGCAGTCACAAGCTGTCCAGAGCAGTGGGCCGTCCCTGCCCCCAAGGGGCATTCGTGACAGTAGTCCGCTGAGGAATGGGCTTGGAGACAAGAACTAGGTTAACCAGAAGCAGGGGCTCTTCCTCCCAGGAAATGATCACAGTGAGAGCAGATGTCCCTTCTCCTACACAACCCTCATCAACCAGAGGCACTGAAATGTCCACGGGGCAAAAGAAAGAGAGATGGAGCAGCCTGCCTTTATTTTGGTTTTGATGTAATCAAAGCATTTCGTGCACAGTTTAAAAATCAAATACTTTAATACTGAACGCTTACAATGAAAAGTCAGCAGTCTCTTTCTCATCCCTTCCACTTCTCCCCCTAGCAAGTCCCACCCCACCCTCAGAGTCAATAACTTGTAACTTTGTTAACAGCTTCTTCTGTCATTAAGCTCCATTCCTATATGATATTCTTATATTAGTCCTTGAGTTCTCACTGTAAGCATTTATCAGCTGACTTCTTGTTATAGCAGATAGAGATGTTTTCTTTTTTTTTCTTTTTTTTTTTTTTTGAGACAGAGTCTCGCTGTGTTGCCCAGGCTAGAGTGCAGTGGCGCGAACTCAGCTCACTGCAAGCTCCACGTCCCAGGAAGATGTTTTCTTTTACTTCCCCCACTTTGCCTTCCATGACCATCCTCCCAATATGCTCATATCACAATTTTTGTTAATTCAGTAATCAAAATTAGTATGATTATGTACATATTATTTCAAATGCTATGTATTTTACCATATATTTCCTTTCCTGTTGAATTTTTATTTTTGCTGCAGTTAAAAATGTTCTTGTTTTCTCACTTCAAGAGGGTTTTTCAATTAGAAGTTAATCTTTTCTATATCTTTTCCTCCTCCAGCTGGAAGCAATTCTCATGTATGTGACAAATATTTATTGAGCCTCTACTTTTGCATATTATTCTACTGGGTGTTAAGATGTATAGAAGGGAACCATTCACAGCCAAAAAATTTAGTTGAGAGACAAGAGAGGTACACATACAAAAATAAATGGACAACAGTACAAGCAGAAAGCAATCAGTCAAGCATTGCTCCAAGTGCTCTGTGGTGTATGGAATTAATGGTGCCCAGGAGGAATGTTCTGGAGTCAGAGGCTAGGGCCACAAGACAGGTTTTTCTGGAGGGTGTCAGGCCTGAACTGGGCTTCAAAATCTGATTGGAATGTACAGGCAGAGATGGAAAGAGAGAATGTTCCAAGTGAGAGAATCAACAAAGATGTGGTCCATGAACCTCAAACATGTGAAACATCTTTTTAACTACCCTGTGTCTCAACTTCCCCATCATTAAATTAAAAAGTAGAAAGGAGCTTATAATTGGTATTGTGGCTACTAAGGAAGAGAAAATCCCTATTCTTAGAAAATACACCCTGAGCCTGGGAGGTCAAGGCTGCAGTGAGCCGTGATCATGCCACTGCACTCCAGCCTGGGCGAGAGAGTGAGACCCTGTCTCAAATTTTTTTTAAAAAAAGAAAGGAAAATATACACTGAAGTATATAGTGCTGCTTCATAGGACTTGTTGTGGAGTTCACAAAATTTATGTAACTTACCCTTAAATGGTTCAGGGTAAAAAAAAAAAAAAAAAAAAAGAGTATATAGGTATTCCTTGTACTATTTTCATTTTTGGAATTCATTGGAACTTGAGAATTATTGGGAATTATTTAAATTTTTAAAATTAAGGCTGGGTATAGTGGCTCACGCTTGTAATCTCAGCACTTTGGGAGGTCAAAGGGGGCACATCACGAGGTGAGGAGATGAGACCATCCTGGTTAACACAATGAAACCCCATCGGTGAGGAGATTGAGACCATCCTGGTTAACACAATGAAACCCCATCGGTGAGGAGATGAGACCATCCTGGTTAACACAATGAAACCCCATCTCTACAAAAAATACCAAAAAAAAAAATTAGCCAGGCATGGTGGTGGGCGCCTGTAGTCCCAGCTACTCGGGAGGCTGAGGCAGGAGAATGGTGTGAACCTGGGAGGCGGAGCTTGCAGTGAGCTGAGATCACACCACTGCACTCCAGCCTGGACAGCAGAGCAAGACTCTGTCTCGAAAAAATATAAAAATTAAGTGAGACTCTCAAAAAAAATGATGAGGATATTATGTTAAATGAAAAAAAGGTAAGATATAAAAGTATACATACTGTATAAATCCATTTATGTAACTATATAGACATAGGAAAAATGGAAGAAACTATAAGTATTAACAGTAGCATGATTAAGGGTAATGTTGTCTTTAACTTTTTCTATATTTTGAAGTTTTCCATACTGAGCATGTATTAATTTTCTAATAGAAATGAAACTAAAATAATTTTCTAATGTTTTCTAAAAACATTAAAAATTAGGTTTGGGGAGAAACCTAGGGTTATTTTAAAAGATCAATATAAAATTATATGTGTTTATTCTTTAAAATCATATCCACATCATATTTAAATACAGTGGTTTTATGTTTTCCAAAATGGAGAAGAATATCTATCCTCTAGAGTTACTGGCCAGATTGAATGAAATAATCTTTGTAAAGTGCTCGGCCCAGTGCCTGCCCACAGTGAACGCTCAGTAGATATGACTCTAGGATGGTCGGCTATTTCGATAATCGTCACCTCCCTGCTTCCTGTTCGCCAGCTTCTTTGATTGAGAACAGGTTTGATTGGGTATGGCCCATTCTCCCAGCTGGTGCTGGGCCCTGGGTCCTTGGTCCAGGAGGGTGGCTGACCTGCCTGGCCTCCCTACAGGTGGCGGCGGAGTACTTCAAGAACACCACGCTGCTGCTGGTGGGGGTCATCTGCGTGGCGGCTGCCGTGGAGAAGTGGAACCTGCATAAGCGCATTGCTCTGCGCATGGTCTTGATGGCGGGAGCCAAGCCGGGCATGTAAGTCTTATTTGGGATGCCAGACTATAGTGCATCCTTCTAGCTCCCAGTGTGCCACGAGGACAGTGGTCTCAGGTCACTGCGGATGTCCACTTCAGCCTGTTTTTTCACCAACAGGGACGGGCTGACATCAGAGCCATAGGACCCGTCCAGGGAGAGGGCCATGGAGTAGAAATTTGAGCCTGTGACCTTGCTATCATTATCCAAAGAACTTACCCATTGACCTAGGCTGCAAGGGCAGCAGCTTACAACATATAGGGGCCCATTAGGTAAAACAGGATGGACCAATAGAAATTGTTTCCCAACCTGCTTCCTGTGTTATCAGGGAACAGGCTGGAGCAGAAGTGCCTGTCTTCTCCTTTGTCACTTAAAGAGACGTGAATGTTTCCTCCCATCCACCCTGAGTTTTTGTCATCAGTTCAGACCACAGACCCAGTTAGAGACACTGCATTTGACTGTGATACAGGACAGGGTCCCACCCTCGGGGAATGTGTTGCGGTGTCAAGGTTGAGTTTTGTGTTAGCTTCACTGATGCTCCATTTGGATTCCCCTGCCTGTACCTTCCCTTTGGGAATATCCTGCTCACCTCCTCCTAGTTTACAACTTACTTGCTATATTTTATGTAAGCTGCTCTGACTCCTATGGAAGTCAATGTGAATATAAATAAATAATATAGTATTGGTTCTCAACACAAGTCATTTAGATGACTATAGGTTATGCTTAAAAGCATGTTCCTGTCTCCCAGATTGTCAAACAGGTCTGCTAACTACAGCTTAATCCACCCCCTAGCTCAGTAATAATCTTGTCCCCACACTCAACCTCCCAGGCACACAGTGGCATTTCGTCACATCATATGGAGACTCTGTGGCTCTTTAAAATCTCTGTGTATTCTCTGCAAGAATTTTTTTTTTCTTCTTCAATTTTTTTTTTTTTTCTTGTTGAGACAGAATCTTGCTCTGTCGCCCAGGCTGGAGTGCAGTAGCGCGATCTCGGCTCACTGCAAGCTCCGCCTCCCAGGTTCATGCCATTCTCCTGCCTCAGCCTCCCAAGTAACTGGGACTACAGGTGCCCGCCACCACACCCAGCTAATTTTTTGTATTTTTTAGCAGAGACAGGGTTTCACGGTGTTAGCCAGGATGGTCTCGATCTCCTGACCTCGTGATCCACCCTCCTCGGCCTCCCAAAGTGCTGGGATTACAGGCATGAGCCACTGTGCCCGGGCAAGAATTTTTATCCTCTCGTATTTCCACTCCTCCCTATTTACATCAGTCAGCAAGTTGCCACCCCCCGAGGCAGTTACCTGTGTGGGTACAGAATCGGCGAAGTCACGTCTCTGTCAGCTGACGGAGTCCACATGATAAACGTACTGTCCCCAAATTGTGCAAAGTCAGTAATTCCACCTAAAATAATAAACACAGTAGTCTTTATATTGACTTATCTTATGGAAACTAGGACATGTCTGTACAGGCACATATTGCACAATGTTCTCAAAGCCAAAGAGAAATAATTGGAAGGTTATCCTTGTTAGTGTTTTTCTCCAAGTGTTGATGCTTTACAATGTCAGCTGGAAAAGTGTACACAAACAGTGACAGGGGACACTTCTGTGACTTTGGGGGCTATCCCTTCAGCATGTTTACAGGTAGTGGGCGGAACTGTGAGCTCCAAACATTCATCTCTATTGGGTCACTGATAACTATGGTGACTTGGCAGCAAAGCAAGGAGTACCGTAGCACTACAGAATTACTGACTGCGAGGGCAAAGAATTCCCTTCCACACACAAACACACATCACCGCCAAGCTCCAGCCAATGTCTGCAGAGACAGAAAAGCAACGGTGAGTCTATACCCTGTGGCACTACTACCAGAGCTTCACTAAGGACTTTTTTCTGGCTAAGGCCGCTAGTCCATGAAGTGTAATTCATTCATTCAACAAGTATTGCTTTAATACTTATGCTGTGCCAAGCACTGGGAGTACAGAGCTGAATGGCACCCTGCAGGACAATTGCCTACCTTTCCAGCCACATCTGACTAGACCAGCCCCAGCAGGATGGCAGCAGGCCCGCTGTGGGGCTGCAGGGATGTGTGTTCTGTGGACACTCTGCCCCAACCCTCCCTGCCTTCCAGGCTGCTGCTCTGCTTCATGTGCTGTACCACGTTGCTGTCCATGTGGCTGTCCAACACCTCCACCACCGCCATGGTGATGCCCATCGTGGAGGCCGTGCTGCAGGAGCTGGTCAGTGCTGAGGACGAGCAGCTCGTGGCGGCCAACTCCAACACCGAAGAGGCCGGACCCATCAGTACAGTTTGCTGGAGTTCATCTCTCCTTTGCTCCTCCAACCTCCCCTGGGGTCCTCCCGCCTGGCTCCTCTGGGGAGACTGCCCAACTTGGTGCCCACCCCAGGACCCCCTCAGCCATGCCCCCACCTTCCTCTTCCTCTTCCCTCTCTCCTCTTTCCCACCCCAGCTCTTGGACTCTGAAGCTTCCCTGAACTCCCTGTTCTGGCTCTTCCTTCCTCCTTCACTTATGGACTCTTTTCCCCTAAATGTTCGAGGGTACACACTGCTCTTTGCCCCCAAATGCTCAAGGACCACTACAAAACCCTGGGGTCGGTCTGCATCCATGAGCCCCACTCTACTCACAGAGCAAAGGGAAGGAGAAATGTCACCCACTCCACATGCCCCATCCCCGCCCTAAGCCCTTGAGCTACGCGCCAAGCCACAGGGTCAGCCCCAGCCTCCACCTCTCACATACTGCTTTTCTTTGCTACTCGTAGGTCTGGATGTAAAGAACAGCCAACCTTCTCTGGAACTCGTCTTTGTCAATGAAGAGTGAGTATGACTGCCCTCTTCCCAGACAGAGCCTCTCAGAATCCATAGGGGAGGTCAGAAAAGATGGGACCTGGACCCACAGACAGCTCTTTGAGATGTACGGTCCAAGCTTACCACCTTGTCACCCCCCCCACCTCCCCCATTTCCTCTCCACACCTAGGAGCCACCTATCAGGACCTGGAGGGTCACTTCCTTAACCACAGTGTTGCAGTGATGAGGAAGAAATAAAAAGGCCACACTGAATCTCCATGGATATATGAACTGTCCACACAGCCACCATGCAGAATCTCATCTAAATTCATGTCCCTTTTAGGAAAATAATATGTTTAATTTGTTCATGGAAAACCATTCACATATCGATGTCACTGCAGATTCTTGGAGAATCATGAAATATTTTCTAGATATTAGATAAGGTCTTAGTAGATTTGGTCTTGTTAGATATGGCAAAGAAAACTTAGGTGACAGGTAGGGGATGAGGGGACAGGAGGTGAGAGGGCCATGTGATGATGGGAAGCAGAGCTGGAAAAGGAGAAACAGTCTCAGACATTCCTGGGAGGAAGCTCCATTAACAGCTGATTCCATTTGGAGATTCTCTTTCAAAATGTGGCCCACAGGCATGCCACAATGAATAGTCCACATTTAAAAGCTGGATTTGTAATACAGCTCAGCTCTGTCATTTGCCCTTGTAAAAAAGGAGAACACACATTAGGTGAAATCAGCATTCGCAGTGGGACAGATGCGGAAGGGTGCCATCAGGAAATTGCTTTGTCACCACCACTGTCTTCAATCATAGCATATTGGATTTCTTGATGACATCACCCTTGATGATATCTCAGGCAAATCCCATAGCTCTCCTGGTTCCTTTCAGGTATTATAACAATCTCATGTTCAGACATTTGGGAGACTAGTCCAGATTCATATCAAAACTTCAACTTCTCATCCAAAGCTTCTCCCACACCCACCCACCCCTCACCCTAGGCCTGCAGAAGAAAGAAGGTGAAAGTAAGTGGGGGAGGGAGTTGAGCTTCTTTCTCCCTTCCTCCACCTCCCTCTTCTCCTCCTCCTCTAACCCAGCCCTCACTCTGCTGCTTCTGACCTCTCCAGGCTTACGACAGCAGCTCTAGGGTACAGGAAAGATAAAGGGGTGAGAAAGGTCTGGACGGGGACTATTGAGGTCTACAGTCAGTGCCCTGGCTCTTTCATCTGTGGGGCAACTGCCTTCAGGGACTTTGAAGCATCCCCTTGTGGCGCCCTCTGCAGGGTCTTAGGCCTGATGGCAGGGCCTTGCTCTGGGATTAACACTCACGCCACCCTCCTGGGCCTGTGCTCTGGAGGTTCACTCCCCCACAGCCCCTGTGCTGGGGCTGCCTCTGCCTCTGGGCAGGCCTTTCCCAGATGACCCAGGAAAAGGCCATCCTCACTGTGGCCTTTTCTCCTCCCTGTGGCCTCTCTGGCATTACCCTGCTGGCTTCTTGCCTTTGCTCTTTTCCACACAAAAATGTGTCCTCCAAAAGAGAAGCCTGAGTTGTCCCTAGAACTCTAAGCATCTTTTGTGCTGGTGGGAACTGGGTCGTTTGCTGGGCATGCAGACAGCACTCTTGCGGCCACTGCCTCCCATGCTACCTGAGGGTCCTCGCCTGCCCTCCTCACCCAGTTTGGGAAGAAGGAAGGGGAAACATCACAGCACATTTTTCTCCCAGGCGAAGAACTCACTCCAAAGAACACTTCCCTCTGCACACCTGTCAGTTTCTTATCCTTCCCTGACAGAGCCTGGAGAGGGGCTGTGGCCGCAGGACCCACATCCCGCATGTGTGTGCCCAATACGCTCTCCGTCTTCACAGTGGCTGAGCTGGTGGCACCCACTGTCCTCGCAACTAAGACAAACTGGAAACATTCACTGATCACTCAGTGTGTCAGTTACACTGATGGCTAAGTTCTCATCTTCTTCTGTCCTCAAGGCAAAGGGACCAGCAGGGGTGGGAGACACTCACCCCGTGAAGCGTACTTGCTGATCAGAAGTTCTTCCCCTCCCCCACACTCTCCCTCTCCCTCGACTTTCCCTGGGTAAAATCCAGGCCCTCCTTGCTTCTGTCACCTCAGATACGCATATCACAAGTTCCCCTTTCTAGATAGTGGTCTTCCCAGAGTCAGCCAGTAAGAGCATGGGCAGGGGGCGTAGGCTCTCCAGAGACACAGACTCCCGGACTCCTACCTTCCTCCACCACTTAGCATCCCCGTGCTAAGTACTGGTGTAAATGGAGGTATGAATGCCAGTACCATAGATCTGTGATGAGGATTAACAATGTCTGGGGGTTAAAGCCCATATATATGTACTGTGTATCTAATGACCACTCCACGTCTGCTGTCAGGACTATCATTAATATCAAAGGAAAGTGCTGCCCCTGCCCTCAGAAGGGAGCCGGCCCCGGCCCCACTAATCCTTATAGCATCTCAGAAGGCAAGGGAGAGATTAGTCTTCTTTGGAGGCTAGAAAACTGGAGTCCAGAGAGTTTAAGTCCCTTACACCAAATGCCTGATGCAGGGGGACCTCCCCTCCCAGGAGTCGGCCTCACTGACGTAGCTCCTGTGTCCTCTGCTTGGTTCCAGCAGGTCCACCGCAGACCTCACCACTCTGATGCACAATGAGGTATGACCTTGGGGTTTTTCTGTGCTTTGGAATCACTTGAAAATCCCTCAGCACTTCTTCATGGAAACCTAAGATTCAGAACCAGATTTTCAACAGCCACAGATCCACCTTAGAGTTCCTTTCACTGAGGATTCCACTGACAAAATGTTATTATTAAAAAGGACACATTGGCTGGGCATGGTGGCTCATGCCTATAATCCCAGCACTTTGGGAGGCCACAGCAGGAGGATCACTTGAGGCCAGGCGTTCAAGACCAGCCTGGCCAACATGGTGAAACTCCACTTCTACTAAAAATATAAAAATTAGTGGTGATGGGCACCTGTAATCCCAGCTACTTGGGAGGCTGAGGCAGGAGAATCACTTGAACCTGGGAGGCAGAGGTTGCAGTGAGTCCAGATCATGACACTGTACTTCAGCCTAGGCAACACAGCGAGACCCCCATCTCAAAAAATAAAAATAAATAAAAATAAAAAGAACACATTTACAGGGGAAAGCACAATTTACCTGCACACAGTTACTCGAACTTACTTCACTCCCCCAAGTCTGGTTATACATCTTTTCAGGAGAAGTGTAAAAGGCCAATAAAACATTGGACTTCAGCTGGGTACAAAGGTATGCCCATGTAGTTCCAGCTACCAGAGAGGCTGAGGCGGGAGGATCGCTGTGGCCCAGGAGTTTGACCCCAGCCTGGACAACCCAGAGTGAGACCCTGTCTCTAAAACAAACAAAAAAACTGTGGACTTGGTTGTGATGATTTTTTTCTTTTTTTTCATCTTTTATATGAAGGGTTCTTCATTAGCTAATAAAGTCCCAGAAAGGCTGCCTCTCCTCTAAGGGCAGAGCCATGTTCTGCCTAGTTTCAAAGCCTCTTCAAATGGAGAGCTTGACACCAGGCTGAGCGGGGTGCATGCTCCCCCTGGCTTCTGTCTGGTTCCCACAGTGCTGAGGCATGGGGTGGCCCTGGGATGATTAGGTGGTCCTTCTCGAGGCACCTGACTCACCACTTCCTCTTCCTAACAGTGAGATGGCCTTTGTCCCAACAGAACCTGAATGGTGTGCCTTCGAGCACCAACCCCATCAAAACTGCAAACCAACACCAGGGCAAGAAGCAACACTCATCCCAGGTAATAGAACGGCCCCTTCTGGCCCTGTTTCCTACATGAAACGCTGTGAGCTGCTTCCCAAGGGCACTGGCCTTGAAGTCGTAACAGAGTCAGGCTAGTGAGCTGTCACCAGGCACTCATTCCCCACATACATGTCTGGCCTGTGTGCACCACGGAGATGAGACATCAAGCTCACTTGACTGTAGCAAGACAGTCCACTGCCTGAGCCCCAGTGTCTTCAACTATAAAAGCTGGGGGTTGGTGTAGATCAGAGGTCCTCAAACTAGTCTTCAAAAATGCTTCAGGGACACTGCAAATATTTTATTTGAGTATCCTAAGATTGTAAGGCAACTGCTTTTCTGAACTAATAATGATCTTCCCGGCACGATTCCTCTGAAATAAAATGCAGAAGTCAAATGAATGAATGTTAAGGCTTCTATAAAATAGCAACTGTCACTTATGACCCTTGATTTCAAATGTCTGGGTTCATCAAAACAGTCTCACTTATTTAATGTGCATCATCATAAATAACTGCCATTTATTAAATGCTTATTATGTACCGATCATTGCACTCAGCATTTTTTTCTCTGGTCTTGGCTCAATGAGGTAGTGATTTTGAGCTCCATTTTTGCAAACAAGGTAAAGATGAAATCATAACCCAAGGCCAAGGAACTAGGTAGGGGAGCATTCTGATTCAAATCCAAGCCTCCTTGACCACATGGAATTAACCCATCCATAAACTTCCAATTACAAAATTGGATGCATGCCAGCCAGGTGTGGTGGCTCAGCACTTTGGGAGGCCAAGGCAGGAGGATCCCTTGAGCTCAGGAATTCAAGACCAGCCTCAAACACAGCCAGACCTCGTCTCTACTAAAAATAAAAGTAAAAACATTAGCTGGCATGGTGGTGCATGCCTGTAGTCCCAGCTACTCAGGAGGCTGAGGCAGGAGGATCACTTGAGCCCAGGAGGTCAGAGCTGCAGTGAACTATGATGGCACCACTGCACTCTAGCCTGGGCAACAGAGTGAGACCCTATCTCAAAAAAAAAAAAAGATGTATCCAATTGCTACACTTATACTATTCTGTGGAAAATTTCACTAGAAGAAAGGATTGTGGAAGACCACTGGACCAAGGAATCTTTGAGGTCTCTTCCAGCTCTGATAATCAATGGATCTTTTAGAGGTCTGGAAGGGTCCAGACATACTTCGGCCCCACGAGGAAGAGGGGGCAGTGGGAAAGGGCTTTGAGAGATATGGCAAGGTGGCACTTCCCCATTGGTTCTTTCATGACCTGACTTGCTGACAATTGCACCAGGACTTTCCTAGTCTCATGAAGAATCAATGAAGGTGGCCAGGTGTGAAGGGAACAGAAGGGACTTGCTTCTTCAGGCAACACTTGAGACCAGAGTTCAGCAACCTCTCTGACCCTGAAAGGCCACCATCTGGACCAAGCAGGGCCAGAGAGGACCACAACTAAGCTGAAGTTTATCTGCAAGGGGGAAGAAAAAAGTAGAGAGGAAAAGTCAGGCAAGGAGAAAAGAGTGAGGAAGGGAGGGGGGAAGGAATCACACTTCAACCCTCTTCCCAATGAAGACTAGGGTTTTTATATAATCCAGGTGTATTTTTTAGTCATCTCTCCATCAGGGCTTGATGGATTTGAATGGCCAGACTTGAGAGATATTCAGAGGTAGCTTGATGGGTCTTGGTAGGATTAGAAAGGGCCCGAGGGGAAGGCCAAATCCTGTCATTCTAACTCTACAGGAATAACATGTTTGTCATTCAAATACAATGTGGAGCGACACCAGTTTTACTGGAGTTCAAGTAAAAAGCCATGCTGTCAATAATAACATTAGTCACAAAAATAATAATAGCCTACCATTCATTAAATGCCAGGAAGTGTTTTAAGCACTATACATATATTACTTCATTTACTCTTCACAACAATTCAGCAGAGAAAATATGGTTTCCACCATTGTACAGAGAAGAAACTGTAGCTCTGATGCATGCCCAAATTGATAAATGGTAGGAACTGTGATTTGTCTTTCTGACACCCAAGCTCAAACCCTTTCCGCTGTACCATGGTGCCGCCTGCCTCTCATGCTTCGGCCAGAGAGCCCAAGCTGGGATGGAGAGATTCGCTGATTTTCCTTTGTTAGGAAAAGCCACAAGTCCTGACCCCCAGCCCCAGGAAGCAGAAGCTGAACAGAAAGTACAGGTCCCACCATGACCAGATGATCTGCAAGTGCCTCTCCCTGAGCATATCCTACTCTGCTACCATTGGTGGCCTGACCACCATTATCGGCACCTCCACCAGCCTTATCTTCCTGGAACACTTCAACAAGTAAGTGATTCACTTGGTCAACAAATACTTACTAACCACCACTGTGTGTCAGGAACTGGACTAGGTGCTAGAGATATGGTAGAAAATGAGAATGGAAGAGTTTCTGTAGAAAGAGGGAAAAACAGGCTGAGCACAGTGGCTCATATCTGTAATCCTAGCACTTTGGGAGGCTGAGGCGGGGAAATCACGAGGTCAGGATCTCTAGACCAGCCTGACCAACATGGTAAAACCCCGTCTCTACTAAAAATATAAAAATGATCCAGCTGTGGTGGCACACACCTGTAATCCCAGCTACTCAGGAGGCTGAGGTAGGAGAATCACTTGAACCCAGGAGGCAGAGGTTGTAGTGAGCCGAGATCGTGCCGCTGCACTCCAGCCTGGGCAACAGAGCAAGACTCCATCTCAAAAGATAAATAAATAAAAATTTTAAAAAGCAAAAAAAGGGGAAAATAAAGTCATTATAGCTAAGTGAGACTGGAGAAGTCTAAGACTCTGCAGGGAGAGCCCTGCTCAGGGAGCTCGCCCATCTACAGGGAGGAAATGCCTCCCTGAAGAGGCGACCATGTGGAAGCCTGAAGGATGGGAGTAAACTAGATGAAGGGAGATTATCCAGACAAAGAAAACAGTGCGTAGGAAGGCTCCGAGGCAGGACAGCAGAGCACATAAAAGAAAACGACAGAGGGTAAGAGGAGGCCAGGGAGCTGGACGGGCAGATCTCCAGGGCTTGGCAAGACCCACTGAGGAACTTGGACCACATCTGAAAGGCTTTGAGATGCTTTTAAAGAATTTTAAGCAGTTAGTGAGGTGGTCAGATTTATAGTTTTGAAAACTCATTCTGGATGAAAAAGACAAAAAAAAGGGGGGGGGGAACAGATTGGAAAGGAGAAAGCAGACAGCAGGAAGGCAATTCAGGACACTGCTGCAAAGTTGTCCAGGGCAGCCAGTGGCTTGGCTGACAGCGCAGTGGGGAGGAGGAACAGTCAGGTTTAAGGGAAACTCAGAGGTCACTTGCTGGGTCTCAGGAAGGTTAGACAGGGCCTGAGAGAGGGAAAGGCTGTCTGCGCCTCTCAGGCCCCTGCCCTCAGCAGGTGAAGGAATAGAGGGGAAAGAGGAGGAATGGGGTCTTGGAAAAAGTGGCATAGAGGCTGAGATGTCCAGGTGAAAACAGACCTGTGACTCTCAAGGGAAATATTAATGTTTAGGCTGAAGGCATAGATTTGAAGTGAGTAGCCTGCAGGGCTGGGGCCATGGGCATGCCACCAGTACAGGGACACGGGCCACCATGCCCAGACAGGCGTCATGCTTGGTTTAATGTTCTGCTGTCCCTGCCTGGATATTCATAATAACCTTTGGGTAAAGGGGCCACATATTCATTTTGCCTTCTGGTACGGGAAGTTACAGGAGTGGAGGAAATTACCTAGAATATACAGAGTAAGGAGAACAGAGGACATAAATATAAAGCTCACATATTTAACAGACAGAAGGAAACAGTATCAGACAGCAGAGAGGAAAGGGAAATCTAGTGCCACTCTACCCAAGGGAGGAAAGTATTTCAAGAAAAAGGAAGTGCCTACAATATTTAATGTCAATGAATGATGATGCAAAGTAAGGATGAAAAGGTATCCATTAGATTTGGTGACATGGAGGTTACTGGTGATGTAGGCAAGAGGACCTTGGTCAATTGGTGGGAGAAGCCAGATTCTGGTGAGTTGAGGATTCTGGTGAGTGAGAAAATAGAGAACTGACTGTGAAGGGAAGGAGAGATGTGGGATGATAATAAAAGTAAAGTAGAGGACGGGCACTGTGGCTCATGCCCGTAATCCCAACATTTTGGGAGGCCAAGGCAGGCAGCTCACCTGAGGTCAGGAGTTCGAAACCAGCCTGGCCAACATGGCAAAACCCCATCTCCACTAAAATTACAGAAATCAGCTGGGCATGGTGGTGTGCTCCTGTAATCCCAGCTACCTGGGAGGCTGAGGCAGGAGAATCGCTTAAACCCAGAAGGCAGAAGTTGCAGTGAGCTGAGATCATACCACTGCACTCCAGCCTGAGCGATAGAGCAAGACTCTGTCTCAAAAAATAATAATAATAATTAAAAAAAAAAAAAAGGAAAGGAAAGCAGGGTCAAGAAGGAGTTTTCAAGATGGGAGACATTTAAATGCTGGTAGGGATGATCCAGATGAGAGGGAAGTTAAAGATCTGGGAGAAGGGATCACTGATAGAGGGATGTCTCACACCTAGAGGAGTTTTACACCCAGCCCCGAAAACAGAGACCCAAGGAAAACACAGCGTAGGTCATTTAGGCCTGAGCCTTGTCTAAGCAAAAGCCATGGCTCACGGCCTGGTCCATCCAGGCTCCACAGGAAACAACACTTGGGCTGGGGAGCCACAGCTCTGCCTGCTGATGAATGAGCAGTTCGCCAAACAAATCCCCTCTACCCTGAGACCAGTGGATGTTTAATAAAGATTTGGAGATTGCAAGTCCTGGTTCTCTTATGGGCACCATAATATCTAAAAACTTCATTAAGCCCTAGAGCTTCAAATTCTCCAGAACTGTGTCCCCCAGTCAAAACTTACATTCCTTTGGTGATTTTAGAAACAAAGTATACCAAGCTGCTCCGTTTTCTGTTGTCTTGAAAACCAGATGAATAAACTTAGCAGAATCTTTAAGGGCAAATACATCCTGAGTCATTCTCTTGAGTGCAAAGTAAATACACTTTAATAATATGAATTTTAGTTGTTTTGATTCCTTTTCTTAGCTAGTTTCATGATTCTTGTCTGGGCTCTCTACAGTTGCAACTGTCAACTAAATGAGTCTGTAGACAATGTTTTACCATACTGTTATCATTATCTCCCCACTTAGCCCAGCTGTATGTTTTAGGGAGCATTTGGCATACTACCCCAAAATACCATATGGAAACCCTCCCTTTTCTAATTGCTGACCTGCTTCTTTACCCTCCAGCCAGTATCCAGCCGCAGAGGTGGTGAACTTTGGCACCTGGTTCCTCTTCAGCTTCCCCATATCGCTCATCATGCTGGTGGTCAGCTGGTTCTGGATGCACTGGCTGTTCCTAGGCTGCAAGTGAGTCCCAGGGCCCTTTCAGCAAAGCACTGAGGCCCCCCTGTTGATCCAAAGGCCATGGCATGGGCCCCGGATGGCTCTGTGCAAGGGGGACTGCTAGGTAACCACAGAGGATGCCCAAGGAGAATGCAGTGGTCTGGACTGAGAGTCAGGCGCTGTCTCTTCTAGACATTCTAAATATTTGTGAACTCTGTACTTCACTCTCAGCTCCACATGAAATGTTCTTAATTCCAACTAAATGGTTAGAGAGCCTGTCCAGTTTATACAAAGTCTGACGTGAAGAGTATTTAATGTCGTTTTATTGCTCTCAAAGCATATAGAGTACTTCCAATTACTCCAAGAAATAAGAAATAAAAAATATGACTCCAAGTAGAATTTGCATTAGGTTTAACTTTATAGGCATGGGTGATTTACACTTAGTAGCCTGAATAAAATAAAATATGCTCATATGCCTCAAAATAACAAGTCAGTCTACTCCAAATTTGATCAGTTTCAAACACATAAGGGAAGATAATATAATGTTTTGCTATTAGTCTATATGCTCCCATTGGTCAAGAAATGTTCTCTGACTTTTCTTTTTACTCAGACTGTTGTCAAACCAATGATGTCTATATACTTCTTAACTCCAGTATTGCCAATATAAAACTAACACTGTGTGTTCCATATATGCAGATGTTTGTGTGTTTGTTTGGCTAGAGACAAAGCTTCTCTGAAGTAAAAATGTTAGTTATACATCTAGACACATAGTGGAGTAAAAGTTGTAGTTTATACACCTAGACACATATACCACATTACACTAATTATTTTACTTATGTAAAAGACAAGTAGGTAGAAACGACCCCACGCGAATACACGGGCACAAGTCCTTGAGACATCACTTCACACCGATATACCAGAGACAGACCCAGATGGATATCCCCAATAGTCTAGGGCACAAGGTTGATGAGGGTCCAGATAATGTGGCAGATAAAAGCCGTATGAATAGGTGGGGGATAGAGGGATAGAGCATGTGAAAGAGGAGAAAAGTGACCGCAGCAGGCGAGTGGTTTAGTAAATACCTAATATTTGATCTCTGGGCCTCAGAAGTGTGTTTTCTTTAATCATTTGCTCATTGTCCCCTCTCAGTTTTAAAGAGACCTGCTCTCTGAGCAAGAAGAAGAAGACCAAAAGGGAACAGTTGTCAGAGAAGAGGATCCAAGAAGAATATGAAAAGCTGGGAGACATTAGGTAAAAATCAGCCATTCCTCTTCTCTCCTCCTCCAGCAGAAACACAGCAGGTAAAGTCAGCACAGGAGTAGCCTTGTTCTTGACAGCCCCTGACACTGGGAGAATTTTCCACAACTCTGAATCAGGCATTTAGAAGATGCTATTTAATGCCAAAGCCAAGCTGGCCCAGATTTCAGGTGGCCACCCTTTCCCTTTGCTCTATTTGGAGTCCAAGGTATAGCCGTGGCATGGGGTGGAGTGCTGACCATGGGGCAGACGGAGGCAGAAGAAGGGAAAGAGAGCACAGTCACCCTCTTGGAAAATGTGAATTCCTTCCAAAGCCAGGCCTCCTCTCATTGCTCAGACATGCCACCACAGCGGTCCAGTTATCACTCCCAGGGAGACGGGAGACGCTGTGCTATATTTAGGGCAAAAAGCAGTATCAAAGACAGACTTGGAGACAGAGGGCCCAAGAAATCTCTAACCAACCCTCAGCCACTTCTATCAGCTTCTCCACAGGGACCCAGCTTCCTATTTAGTGCTATTTCTCCTTTTATGGCAATTGGCACACACAACTTTGCATAAAACAATCCAGGTAGACACTGTCTTATTTAAAGCTTTAAGTTATAAAAGGAATACATGTTCATCGTAGAACATTTCAAAAATACAAGACAGTATAAGAAAAAAATTTAAATTGACTGAATTCTTAGCACCCCGTGTTAACAAATGTTGACACTTCTTTCCATGCTTTTTTGTGCAAAACTCTATGTATTTTTGGTAAAATTCAGTCCACACCGAAACCATTGTATACCTTGCCTTTCTCAACTCAACACTGTACTCAACTCAACAGTGTACAATATGTTCCATGTCCTTAACTCTGCTGTGGAAACAGGATTATCAGTAGATGCATCTCATTTTAACATAGAGTTGTATCAAAATGTATTCAGTGTATGAAATATTATTGGATATACAGGATGCTTCCATTTTTTAATAGGTAATAAATGTCTCAGTATGCACTTCTGGTTAGATGATAGGAATGATCAACTTTTTTTTTTTTTTTTTTGAGATGGAGCCTCGCTCTGTCACCCAGGCTAGAGTGCAGTGGCACAATCTTGGCTCACTGCAACTTTTGCCTCTGGGGTTCAAGTGATTCTCCTGCCTCAGCCTCCCAAGTAACTGGGACTACAGGCACCCGCAACCATGCCCGGCTATTTTTTGTATTTTTACTAGAGACGGGGTTTCACTGTGTTAGCCAGGATGGTCGCCATCTCCTGACCTCGTGATCTGCCCGCCTCCGCTTCCCAAAGTGCTGGGATTACAGGTGTGAGCCACCACACCCGGCCAGGGAATGACCAACTTTAAGGCTTCTGATGTATATCATCAAATGGCCTCAAAAAGTTGTAGCAATTCCTCTTCCCACCAGCACAGTGTTTGGGGGTGCCTATTTCACTGCACTCTCCTTGTAGGCTGTATTTGAAATTATTTTATAAATGTACAGTGCTGTGTTCTCTTGCCCTTTCCACAGAAGTTTCTCCAGGGAACATGGTTAATGTCATGTTTTCTGGGGGCCACTCAGTCTTCTCCTCATCTCACTGTCAGCCATTCATTGTGGTTAGGCAGTGAGTGTGTTTTATGTCTAGGGTATTGAAACTCTAAATACAGAAGCTTCCAGAAGCAAAGTGAAAAAGCTAGGAGAAATTACTCAGTTCCTGAGTGGGTCTTTCTGTTTTATTTTATAGCTACCCTGAAATGGTGACTGGATTTTTCTTCATCCTGATGACCGTACTGTGGTTTACCCGGGAGCCTGGCTTTGTCCCTGGCTGGGATTCTTTCTTTGAAAAGTAAGTGATATAATTTCCTCCTTAAGAATAACTCCCTCACCCCAATTCTTCAGGCAAGAACTACTGGCATCCTTCATAGACTCTCAGGGGAAGATATGAAGCCAGGAAGATTTCATTCCCTGGGGAATCCACTCTTTTTAGGGGGGGCTGCAGTGTGAAATCAGGAAGGAAAAACACCCTTTGGAGTCCCGGTCTGGGGCTGGGATCCAGTGCTGCAAGTAGTCTCATTACATAAGCTCTTGGAAGCTTGGTTACCTCTTTGGTGGTTATGAGAGTTAAAGGAGAAAACATCTATAAAGTACCAACTGTAAAGAAAAGAGACCAACTTCTCACTTGAGAAGGGAGGCACATGGAGGTGTGGCCTTCATAGGAAAGAGGTCTCATCCTCTTCTATTCTCCTTTATCTAACCATCTTCACTCCTAATCACTCCTTCTAGGACTTGCCCCAATTAACAGGCTCACAAATTCACACCAAGACAGCTACTCTAGCCAGGCCCTGCCTCCAGACATTCACCATTGCCCATTAAATCCACTGTGGATAGCATGGCAGCAACTGGCAAGAACTAAGGTTAATTTCACCTCTAGACTAAGTCCTAAAAAGAGGCACTGTGTTTGCACAGACTGCCCCGAGACATCATGTTACTCCTGAAAATTCCTGACCCTTCTCCTCAGCGATGCTTGTCTCTTTACTAGGAAAGGCTACCGCACTGATGCCACAGTCTCTGTCTTCCTTGGCTTCCTCCTCTTCCTTATTCCAGCGAAGAAGCCCTGCTTTGGGAAAAAGAATGATGGTGAGAGAAGGCTCAAGGGAAGAAACTGGGGGTGGCTCTAGTTGAAGCATCCCCAAATCAGACTAATACTCCCAAAGAGATTTACCAAGGTCCTTCAGATTCCCACCCCCCCGAAACAGCAGTATCCCAAATCATCCACGTCACCAATTAGGTTCCTGTCTCCACCAATCACACCTATCAGGGTTTATCTGGCTTTACATCTCTCTCTAATCCAGGAGAGAATCAGGAGCACTCACTGGGGACCGAACCCATCATCACTTGGAAGGACTTCCAGAAGACCATGCCCTGGGAGATTGTCATTCTGGTGGGGGGAGGCTATGCTTTGGCTTCTGGTAGCAAGGTAATTCTTGAATTCTGATCTTTTTTTTTTTTTTTTTTTTTTTTTGAGACAGTCTTGCTCTGTCGCCCAGGCTGGAGCACAGTGGCATGATCTCAGCTCACTGCAACCTCTGCCTTCTGGGTTCAAGTGATTCTCCTGCCTCAGCCTCCCAAGTAGCTAGGACTACAGGTGTGCGCCATGATGCCAGCTAATTTTTGTATTTTTAGTAGAGACAGGGTTTCATCATGTTGGCCAGGCCGGTCTCGAATTCCTGACTTCAAGTGATCTACCTCCCAAAGTGCTGGGATTACAGGCGTGAGCTACTGTGCCTGGCTTGATTTCGGTTCTTATGGGTGAAATACTTTTCCAGCATCTTTACCTAATGAATCATTATGGGCATGGAAGGAAAGACTCAATGGACCTGAGAAGTAGATGTTCACCGAGTCCCTGGGAAGGGAAGCAATAGAGCAGCATGGATGTCCCCTCCTGCCCTAAGCTTCTCAGTTAGCACTACTGGAAACAGAGGAACAGATCGGCTGTGCCACACAATCATGATACATGGGCATCGATACTTCATCTATGGGGCCCATGCTGCTACAAGCAAAAGGTTTATTGGAGTTTGTAGCCATCTCCTTCTGGGATTTGACAGTGGCAATAGGAGATGGTAACAGGAGATGGACATAGGTAATAGGAGTGGTAATAGGAGAACTCTGTAAGGGACCAGAGATATTTCAAAGTGTGACACATGGTGAACTATCTGTCCACAATACATAGGACTGAAGCCCCTTTGGAAAATCTAGGCTAAAGCTGATGTAAATGCTTCTTGATTTTCTAATGGGAGGCGTTTGGATGAGATCTTTTAAGTGGTGGTTGTGAGGGGATGGTTGAATTTCCCTAAAGTGTTAGCCTTCCCTAAAATAGAAAAGAGTCCTAAAGAATGAATTAGGTTAAGGGTTCAGACTATTTCTCCCTCCAGCTTGTCTCGTGCATTATCCCATGCTTAACTGTGTTCCCTTTTTTTTTTTTTTTTTTTTTTTGAGACAGAGTCTTGCTCTGTCACCTTAGGCTGGATGTGCAATGGCGCCATCTGGCTCACTGCAACCCCCTGCCTCCAGGTTCAAGCATTCTCATGCCTCAGTCCTCCCAAGTACGCTGGGATCACAAGCACACCCACCACACCCAGCTTAATTTTTTGTCTTTAGTAGAGACGTGAGTTTCACCATGTTGGTGAGGCTGGTCTGATGAACTCTGGCCTCAAGTGATCCGGCCCACCTTGGCTCCCCAAAGTACTTGGGATTAAGGCACGAGCCACCTGCGCCCGCTTTGCGTTTCACTTTTTTGATGGCCTAAATACGTACTCTGCATTATTAATAAGAAGGTCACAGGAATATTACACTAAGGGAGGAACCTGTAAAGAAAAGCATGAGTCCTATCTCCTGCCCATGGTTGAGATTATTCCCTTCATGGCACCTTCTGGCTTGGACACTTCCAGTGAACAAGGTACTCCCTGTGCATGGAACAAAAGGAATATTTGTTCCTTATTTTCAGGCTCAGGTCTTCTGCATTGTTTGTCGCACGGTTGGCTCTAGCTCTTGTTCTCTGGGACGCTCTCCTAGCTAATATTTAATTACATGAAAAATCAGAAGTAGTGACCCATTACCATGCTGGGTCTCTCTCCTCAGGACTCCACTACACTTGGGCTTATTTCAAACGATGGTCCCACGGGGTGGGCCAGTCTAACTGCCAGAGAGTAGTTATCATTACCCAAGCCCCATTTCCTCAGCTCTGATTCAAGCAGCACCTGCATTTTTATGGAAGCTTTTATTAAAGCACTCCTTGGCACTCTTATGTCAACAATTATATTTACAACTGCAGTCAATTAGAACGCTTCATTCTTTTAACTGTTCATCATTACTAGACTTTCAACCCATCCTATATATATGCTATCAATATTTCTCATTCCAAGTTCGGAATATTTATATTTATCTTTATTAAATTTCAGTTGTTAGTTTTGGCCTTTGACAAGATTGGCCTGGCAATGTTTTACTTTTTTTTAACCAAAATTGGGCTGGGCACTGTGCCTCACGTCTATAATCCCAGCACTTTGGGAGGTCATGGCGGGAGGATTGCTTGAGTCCAGGAGTTTGAGACTAGCCTGGGCACCATAGTAAGATCCTATCTCTACAAAAACAAAAATTAGCCCAGAGTGGTGGTGTGCACCTGTAGTTCCAGCTACTCAGGAGGTTGAGGTGAGAGGATCACTTGAGCCCAGGAGTCCAAAGCTGCAGTGACCCAAGATCCCACCACTGGACTCCAGCCTGGGAGAGAGAGGGAGACCCTATCCCCTGCCACCAAAAAAAAAAAAAAAAAAAAATTGTGCACATATTAGAGATAGTACAGTTATTTCTGTAAAGCCTATGCCTCTACTAATTTTAGTAATAATTTGGGTAGCATATGTCATTCCTACTGAGTTTGAAATAATTTCAGTTTTGACATTAGTGAAGAAAATCCACTGTAAAATGTTTTCATAACAAGAGTTTAAAAAATTGAGACTTCCTTTGATTGTGTTTTTTTCTAACTTTGAAGTCTAATTTATTTCAAATTATAGTATAAAATCGTTCTGCTGGAAAAATGATTGCCACTAAATGATTTCACTTCACTAGGCCGGGCATTGTGGCTCACGCCTGTAATCCCAGCACTTAAAAGAGGCTGAGGCAGGAGGATCACTTGAGGCCAGGAGTTTGAGGCCAGCCTGGCCAACATGGTGAAATGCTGTCTCTACTAAAAATACAAAAAACCAGCCGGGCGAGGTGGCGGACGCCTGTAATCCCAGCTGCCTGAGAGGCTGAGGCACGAGAATCGTTTGAACCTGGGAGGCGGAGGTTGCAGTGAGCTGAGATGCTGCCACTGCACTCCAGCTTGGGCGACAGCACGCAACTCTGTCTCAAAAAGAAAAAAAAATTATTTCACTTTACCTACCAGTACTATTTGGATAACATGTTAAGTAAAACTCTATTTCTTTATATAATGTACCATTTCCACTCAACTAACTGCTCTTCCTCCCCTGCCTCTGTCCAATGAGTGAGGTTTAATGTGTTACCAGAGGGAACAATTAAAGAGTTCCTGGAGGCCTTGGGGCTCTGAAACAAGCATTAATTGATGCAGTCTGCACAGACTGGGTTTGTAAGCTCTCAGTCAGTTGAGAGGAAGAAAAGGAAGAAAAGTTCTACAAGGTGAAGTGGCTACAACAGAGAGAATTCTGAAGGCCTTTGGTTGTCAGTTGTCTATGAGCTCGCCAGGAGGTAGCCAGGGTACTATAGAGATGAAATGAGCTTTTGATGAATTTGGAAGAGAGGAGAAAAAGTAACATGCTGACAGTGTAGGGAAGGAGGTCTTTAAGAGTAAAACATGTGTAGCAGGACTTAAGAGCTTGAGGAATCATAAATGTCTCCCCTTGCTTTCTGTCCCTGCTCTCCATATCGTCATTATACTTGCAGTTTCTACGGTACCATGGGAAAAGGCAGAGCCTGTCAACATAGAAGAGACAGAGGAAGGGAGGCAGGATGCATATGGCAACCTGGAATTTTTAATACAATACTCAGTGATACCTTTCATTTTGTAGGAGACGGAAATAGCCCTCCCTATTTGCAGGTGAACATCTTACAACCAAATGAATCATTACAAGTGGGAATATTTATTTATTTTTATTTTTATTTTTTTGAGACAGAATCTCACTCTGTCACCCAGGCTGGAGTGCAATGGCACAATCTCGGCTCACTGCAACTTCTGCCTCCTGGGTTCAAGCAAGCCTCCTGAGCAGCTGGGATTACAGGCACGTGCCACCACGCCTGGCTAATTTTTGTATTTTTAGTAGAGACAGTGTTTCACCATGTTTGCCAGGCTGGTCTCAAACTCCTGACCTCAAGTGATCCACCTTCCTCAGCCTCCCAAAATGCTGGGATTATAGGTGTGAGCTACCTCACCCAGGCAGAATGTTCATTTATTTAAGTGGATGTGTGTAACTGTTGCTAGTGGAATAAATTCAGGATGGTCAATATGCCTTCGTATCTGTGTCTTCAAAAAGCACTGGCAGGCCAGGTGAGGTGGCTCACGCCTATAATCCCAGCACTTTGGGAGACCAATGTGGGAGAATTGCTTGAGCTCAGGAGTTTGAGACAGGCCTGGGCAACATGGAAAGACTCTGCCTCTACAAATAAAAAGATCAGGGCATGATGGCATGTGCCTGTGGTCCCAGCTACTTGGAAGGCTGAGGTGGAGCTGGCTGAACCGGGGAGGTTGAGACTGCAGTGAGCTGTGATCATGCCACTGCACTCATCCTGGACCCTGGGCAATAGAGCAAGACCCTCATCTTAATTAAAAAAAAAAAATCCTGATAGTAGAACTAATGTCAGCCACGGGGGATTTGAACTAAAACAGGTTGGGGCTGAATGCACCAGCCTCCATGGCACTTAGGAACACCTTCTCCACTAAATGGAAATATGGACTTTCGTTTTTTTTTTTTTTGGAGAGCGAGTCTCGCTCTGTTGCCCAGGCTGGAGTGCAGTGGCCAGATCTCAGCTCACTGCAAGCTCCGCCTCGGGTTCACGCCATTCTCCGGGCCTCAGCCTCCCGAGTAGTGGACTACAGGCGCCCGCCACCTCGCCCGCTAGTTTTTTGTATTTCTTAAAGAGAGGGTTTCACCCGTGTTTAGCCAGGATGGTTCTCGATCTCCTGACCTTCGTGATCCGCCCGTCTCGGCCTCCCAAAGCTGCTGGGATTACAGGCTTGAGCCACCGCGCCCGGCCTGGAAATATACCTTTTATCTCTCTCTACTTAGTTACTGCTCTGTAAAACCTCCAGTGCTCAGCTCTGCCTGTTCCTCTCCCTAAAAAGACAGGAAAGGCTACTATCTACAGATGTTGATACATTTTTCCCGTTTTTAGGTAACAAAATAAACTGATTTCAAAAGCTGAATAAAGGGCTATACTTGGCCCTCTGTGAAGGGCATTGTCGAATCAATGCACAGGGTAAGGATGTCAGAGGCTAGAGAAAGGGTAATGAGATTGAAGTTGAGGAGCAAAGATCTCCAACCTCTGACAAGTTGTCATGGCAAAGTCCTAAGAAGGATCATGGCAATTAGGGTGGGTGGCTCTCCATGCCCCATGATGAAACCGAAAGACCAAATGTTGTACAATCATAAAAACCAATTTTCTGAGCTACAAAAATGATCGAATCATAAAAATCATGAACCCCTCTGGCTCCATTCAGACTAAAGATCAGAGGATCCCTGGTGGTCCAGGCTTCCAATATCCCTGACCTTCTGAATTCTAAGAACTCTAGCTGGGATGTGTTTCTCCTCCTTTCTTCTTACTGTAACACCTCTTCCTACAGAGCTCTGGCCTCTCTACATGGATAGGGAACCAGATGTTGTCCCTGAGCAGCCTCCCGCCATGGGCTGTCACCCTGCTGGCATGCATCCTTGTGTCCATTGTCACTGAGTTTGTGAGCAACCCAGCAACCATCACCATCTTCCTGCCCATCCTGTGCAGCCTGGTGAGTAGCGCGGGGCTCCCAGATGTCCAAACAGGCTGTCCCAGGGGCCTGGAGTGGCAGGCCTAGCTCAGGGCAGCTTCTGTGGCTGTAGCCTCTCCTCTGGTTACTGCCCACAGCCTTCACTGATTGGTGTTCAATTCCTATTTTGAAAAATGAAGTTTTTCAAATTGCAACTAGCAAATAAAAGGATTCACTAATAAATCACAGCAAGAGTTCTAGAAATCCTTGTCCAAAAGAGTAGGATTAGTTTAGGGGCAGCCCTGAGTAGAAACCAAAGAACATACAAAATAATCTTCAAACCCTATCATTTCAATTCCCCGCAATCATCATCAACCTTTCTCTCCTGAGATAAAACCTGAGTAGGGCCAAAGAGGTAGCCACAGAAAATGGAGGTAAAACACACACAGCTGCAAAGACTGAGATCACAACTCAGACAATCATCACAGCCTGAGATTCACTGTCCTCCGGGAAGTTCTGAGGATTGGGAGCAAGGTCAGCTTTGCTCCACAGCCTCAGACCAATTTGTTGTGAATGGAATAGGGGAGGGGAGCAATGGCCAGTTCTTAGCCTGGCCAAGCAGCCTGAAAGGTGATGCATCCGACCCAATGCTTCATCTGTCCCATTCTGGGAGGCAGAATCCAGGAGATGAAGGTCCCTCCCCACCCCAGCAACATAGTCTCCTACTGCTCTTTCTAACCCCAGCCCCACACTCTCTGCTCATTGCTCAGATGACCCCAACTTCTCCCTTCCGTCATCTTGCTTGTGTGAGCAAGAGAGTGCAGTTAAAACTTGGCAACATTGAGAGCAGGACCATGGATTCAAATCCCATATAAAACAATTCTCTTCCCTAGGAAAAAAAAAACCACCTTAGTTCTGTACCCTAAGACTGAGGGATCCCCACTTCAATCAAAGCAACTTATTCATGAGATTTGGGTTTAAGGAAAGGAAGTCTTAGCTAAAGAATAAAGTTTAGGAACCACTTTCTTAGAATAACACCAAAAAAATCAAACATCCCTTCTAGGGAGTAACTCAAAGCCACATTTCCATGTGGAGCAAGTGAGCAGCATCAGCCTATTCAGGTTGCCAAGGGCACTGCATGCCCCCGAGGGCAGGGACCTAACTACCCCTCCACATAGTGTCCTGCTAAGGTTAGCCAGCACCAAGTCATCATTAAAGCATGCTCGTTACCTTAAGCACAGGAAATGCAAGCCTAATCTCGTGAAATGTTTCTGTGAATTCTCTCTTCTAGTCTGAAACGCTGCACATTAACCCCCTCTACACCCTGATCCCAGTCACCATGTGCATCTCCTTTGCAGTGATGCTGCCTGTGGGCAATCCCCCTAATGCCATCGTCTTCAGCTACGGGCACTGCCAGATCAAAGATATGGTGAGTTGGGGTGCCTCTCCCTGCCAGGCCCAGCTGCCATGAGGACAGGGATGACCAGCTCTGCAGCCTTCTTTCAAAGCTTATTTTGTAGCAGTGTCCCTGGCCTGTCAACACTAACCCAGTGTGGTAGCAAGAACAGCACTTATAAAAAGGTTTTCGGTTGGTCTGTAAGCACCAAGGATAGCAAGAATGTGCTCTCCCCAGCCCTTCCCTGGAAAGAAGTGGGTACCTAGGTAGAGAAAGCTGGAACACACAGGCTGTTGCCCAGTTCCAGAAGGCATGAGCCTGCGCAAAGTTTTGCCTTCGTTTCTTCATTAGGCCAGTGGAGACATTCATTGAGAAAGCTACTGGTTTATTCACAGAAAGATGAGAATGAGAAAGTGTATGAACATAGGGTGAAAGGTATTTTGAGAAAACAGGATTCTTCTGCTCAACTCACCCCCCAGGCAAGAAACCCCTGAAGCAACAATGGAAAATGAAGCATCCACCATTCATTTTCATTTTCAGCTGGGCTCACAAACGACGGCTTTGAGATATTTTGCTGCTGACTTTAGTGTTGGGTCTATCTACCTTCTGCTCCTCTACCTATACACTATACTATGTATACTATGCTGCTATACTTAATATCCAGGGCTGAGGGGGTAGAGGAGAGGATGGAAAACACTGATACAAATTACTGATGGTCTTACAATTTTTTTTTCATGGGAGCCAAACTTGTTCTCGCAGCCCTGTAAAGCAATAGAGGAAAGAAAGAAGTTTCAGGCTGGTGGCAGATATTCAGGTCCTTTTTTTTTTTTTGAGACAGAATCTCACTCTGTCACCCGGGCTGGAGTGTAGTGGGCAATGTCAGCTCACTGCAACCTCTGCCTCCTGGGTTCAAGTGATTCTCATGCCTCAGCCTCCAGAGTAACTTGGACTACAGGTGTGCGCCACCACGCCCAGCTAAGTTTTGTATTTTTAGTAGAGATGGGGTTTCACCATGTTGGTCAGGTGGTCTTGAACTCCTGGCTTCAAGTGATCCGCCTGCCTTGGCCTCCCAAAGTGCTGCGATTACAGGTGTGAGCTTATTCAGGTCCTTTTGACTATTCAAACTGCTCATCTAAGTCATCCGTGATACTTCCTGGAATGGGGTGTCCCAGTCATCCCTCTCCCCTCCCATCTTACTGAGTAACCCTCAGTCTGCTCACACTGAGCTCTACCCCAGCTCTCCTGTCTCCTGCTTCTTCTGCTGTGTGTCCCCACCACTGACCTCTGGCTTTCTACACGGGAATCAAATGATCAGAGGCAGTAATTTTCAAAGGTACCAGGTGACAAGAAGTGAGCCAGTCTTGGGTTCTATTCCCAGCTTGGGCACGACCTTGACTTCAGTTTCCTCATCTGCTAAATGACGAGGCTCCAGCTGGATGCTCCATGGGGTCCCTTTCAACTCTAACACTCCTTAATTTAGCCCTGCTAGAACCTGCGCTTTCACCTGTGGGGAAACATGGACTGTCCACCATGCCAAAATGCCCAGGGGACCCTCACCAGACAGCAGGAGAGAGAGGACATGCCTAGCCATTTGCTTGAAACAATTTCCCAGTATCCATTTTCCCCTTGCAATTTTCCCAACTTAATGCCAGCTAGTGACTTGTTTTGGCTACACGCTGTATGCCTGGTTACTCATTGGGAGGGTGCCAGCTATCCTTACAGGACACATTTTTCCATCTGGCTCTGCCAGCCCATCATCCCTCACCTCCCCCACTTCACCTGTGAGTGTCAATGTCAAGGCAGAAGTGAAAAGGGTCAGTCACTGAGGTGTAATTCCCTCAGAGGAAAGACGCAAAGGCCCCACTCCAGCTAGCACACCTGTGTCTCCTTCCTGAGGAAGAGCTAAGCAGAGGCAGCTGAACTGTTTCCCCAGGTGAACTCAAGGTACACTGTTTCCACAAGCTGTTCCTTAAAAAAAGGTAACAGTAGCAAAGGCTTCATGTAATATAGCCCGTCCTACAAGTTCCCTGTATTGGCGCATAGGGGCTGAGAAGTTCCTGCTTTACAGAGATCTGGCTAGTTTTGTTCAGCACATTTCCCTAAGAGTGAGCTGCAGAAATACCTCTTCACGTTCCGTAGGGTGGGTGTTCCAAGTAACTAACACACCTTCTAGGCTTCCACTTGAAACCTAGTGAGAGTGCTGTGAGCATGAAGTGGACATGACTCTAATTGTCCCCTTCCCGCCCTACCACAGTCCTGTGCACCCTACAAGGCAATGCTAGAGCACCCCAGACAGCACTGGGAACTAATCTGGGCCACAAGGCATAGGCTGCGGGAGCAGAAGGGGGACTTGGGAATCTGTGCTGCTGCTGGTCAGAGTGACTAGGGTGTGCTGGTTTGTGTCCTGTAGGTGAAAGCTGGCCTGGGAGTCAACGTTATTGGATTGGTGATAGTAATGGTAGCCATCAACACCTGGGGAGTTAGCCTCTTCCACCTGGACACTTACCCAGTATGGGCGAGGGTCAGCAACATCACTGATCAAGCCTAATGCAAGTACACAAACTGGCCCAACCACAGGAGCTGCCAGTACCCAGCAGAATCTGGACCACAGGCAAAGAAAACCACTAGGACCACCAGGAGCACACAACCCCAGACCCACGCCGGAGGGCATCCCTCCAACAGAAGATTCCACCACCTCAAGCGAACTGCAGGAATCCTCCAACAACCACAAACACATGCTTAGCTGTTAGTGTCTTCTTCTCGCCCTCAGCACCACAGCTCAAGAAAACCTAAAGTTTCAATACAACCATAGGCTCACAGAAAAAGAAAATAAAAATTAAGTTAAAAAAAGAAGACAAAGAAAACCTAAAATTGAATCTAGTGTTTGTAATCCATTCATTCTGAAGACAGGAAAAGAAGGCCTGTCTTACTTGCCTTCAGAGGCTAAGCCGTGCAAACTCACTAGGTTTTATGTTATTTTTAATACCTTCTTAGGAGTGGAAGATACCCAAGCCATCCTACCGAGGCAGAGTGAAACCAGTGACATCTTTTTTGGGGGAAACCTCACCCAGAACTTGAAACCTAATTGTCAGCTCCTTTCTCTTGCTCTTTTTTTTTTTTTTTTTTTTTGAGATGGAGTCTTGTTCTGTTGCCCAAGCTGGAGTGCAGTGACACGATCTCAGCTCACTGCAACCTCCACCTCCCAGGTTCAAGCGATTCTCTTGGCAATCCCCCTAATGCCATCGTCTTCAGCTATGGGCACTGCCAGATCAAAGATATGGTGAGTTGGGGTGCCTCTCCCTGCCAGGCCCAGCTGCCATGAGGACAGGGATGACCAGCTCTGCAGCCTTCTTTCAAAGCTTATTTTGTAGCAGTGTCCCTGGCCTGTCAACACTAACCCAGTGTGGTAGCAAGAACAGCACTTATAAAAAGGTTTTCGGTTGGTCTGTAAGCACCAAGGATAGCAAGAATGTGCTCTCCCCAGCCCTTCCCTGGAAAGAAGTGGGTACCTAGGTAGAGAAAGCTGGAACACACAGGCTGTTGCCCAGTTCCAGAAGGCATGAGCCTGCGCAAAGTTTTGCCTTCGTTTCTTCATTAGGCCAGTGGAGACATTCATTGAGAAAGCTACTGGTTTATTCACAGAAAGATGAGAATGAGAAAGTGTATGAACATAGGGTGAAAGGTATTTTGAGAAAACAGGATTCTTCTGCTCAACTCACCCCCCAGGCAAGAAACCCCTGAAGCAACAATGGAAAATGAAGCATCCACCATTCATTTTCATTTTCAGCTGGGCTCACAAACGACGGCTTTGAGATATTTTGCTGCTGACTTTAGTGTTGGGTCTATCTACCTTCTGCTCCTCTACCTATACACTATACTATGTATACTATGCTGCTATACTTAATATCCAGGGCTGAGGGGGTAGAGGAGAGGATGGAAAACACTGATACAAATTACTGATGGTCTTACAATTTTTTTTTCATGGGAGCCAAACTTGTTCTCGCAGCCCTGTAAAGCAATAGAGGAAAGAAAGAAGTTTCAGGCTGGTGGCAGATATTCAGGTCCTTTTTTTTTTTTTGAGACAGAATCTCACTCTGTCACCC